ACACTTGGGAAACATCTGCCTTAAAGGTACTTTCTTGACTCAGTTTTCCAAAGAAGCCACTTCATCATATTTATGTATTTCCTAAAAAGTCCATACCTACTTGGGGCTTTCTGTCTATTCAATCATGTTGTATTTATTTTTTTTAAAGATTTATTTATAAAAGCACTGGGTACAGTCAGAAGCATGGGAGGGTGAGAGAATTCACCAGAGCCAGAGGGGAGAGCAGAACAGGCAGACTGACAAAGTACACTGCTGAGGGGAGCGCGGGCGGCAGGAGAGGTCTGCGCACCATGTGGGACCCTCACCCAGCAGCTGGGGATCGAACGGGCACTTCAGAGGCTGCACTCAGCTTCACAGCCCAGCACTCAAACCGCTGCACCACTGGAGAGGCCCTCATGTTGCATTTAAATTAGCTACTTCCCAGAGTGAAAAATCCTAAATTTTTCAATAAGTGAAAAAATCATTCCCATTTCTCTAGTGGTGAGAATGATTAAGAAAAGGAGATGAACTTAAATTTTATGATTCTTTAATCTGAAAAGATAAAAGCAAAACTTTGAACAATTCAATCTATGAAGTCATCATGGACCTGGAGAGGAGGAAGATGGAATTTTTCAGCAAATTCTTCACTATTACATCAAGGAGAGTCCTTTCTTGTACCTTGACAATCACTATTCATGCAGAATGCGAGAATTTCTTCCTTTTTTTTTTTAAAGCATTTTAATTTTTTTTAAAGATTTTTTTATTTATTTATTTATTTATTTATTTATTTATACAAGCACTGGGTACAGTCAGAAGCGCCGGAGGGTGAGAGAATTCACCAGAGCCAGAGCGGGGAGCAGAGCAGGCAGAAGGACCGAAGTACACTGCTGAGGGGAGCAGCAGGCAGCAGGAGAGGTCTGCGCGCCATGTGGGACCCTCCTCTGGTGGCCGGGGAGCAGCCAGGGATCGAACCAGCGCTGTAGAGGCTGCGGGCAGCTTCACAACCCAGCGCTCAACCGCTGCGCCACCGGGGAGGCCCTTCATGAAGCAAATATGGAAATTACTTTGCAAGAGACAAAGATGATAAAACTAAATATTTACTGCTCTATCTTGGGTTGGCAAACCAGTGACACATTTGCCCTCATTCCCACCTTCAATGCCCAGGACCCTGAAATGATCACAGCATAAGTGCAGCCTCAGGTTTCTTCACAATAGAGAATTCCAGCAAGCCGCTACCAATTAATTACTCATCGTTGGCATATGAGTTGAAGTCTTTATCATTCAGTGATCAAGTGACTTCATCCAGCCACAAGATTTTACATATGAGACAATAGATACTGATAGGGTGGATGGTTAGCCCAATATCATAAAGCTAACTAGGGACAGATAGCAATGTACTGTCACCAGCACAACTTGGGGTCCATTACATGGGGATCTAAGAGCATCTCCTAGCCTTTTAAGCATGAGTTTGTTTCCCAATGTCCATTCCCTACAGCTTTTCAAAGTTGATGTCACTAATAGGAGATATAGGAGATTGCACCTTGCAGATATTAAGTGCACAAGCTTTGCCTGGTCAGGTAGAACTGGCCTGATATTCTTGCTTTGCTACCTGCTTGCTACATGATAGCCAGAATGCCATCTTTGGACCTCTTTGGACCTCAGTCTCTTCACACATAAAATAAATGCCTCCCTACAAGAATGCTACGAGATTAACTCTGAAAGTACCTAGCACAGGGTCCAAAAGTTGACAGGTAAAATATTCATCCATAAGAGTGTTACATTCTTCCCTTCCTTCTTTCCTTTTCACATGTGGTTGCCAAATTATTAGGTCCTTGATCCTTTAGTACTTAACCCTTCTGAGGCTCTTTCTTCATTTTTAAAATGAGGATCCCACTAGTACTGGCTATAGTGGGATTAAAGAAGCAGTAGCAAATTCAGTTCACAACATGGATATAGATCCCACTGAGAAACTTCTAGAAGATCAGCTTAAATGTCTTGCTCAAGAGGCTTTTGCCAGGAATATATATTACAGCCAAGGGCACTACAATGCAAATAAGATAGCTACAGTCAGAAAGGCCAGGTCTCTTTCAAGAGCAAATCCTTGGCTGGTAAGTGGAATAGTCATTGGATTTCAAGTTTGCAAACCCTGATTCTCACCGAACTTTTCATGATCCTGCTCTGTGACCTTTGGTAGGTTACTTAGTCTCTCTGGGCTTCCAGGTAATCACCAGCCTACCTTATAGCATTGGCAACCCAACTGAAAAACAACCCAGGGATATATGAAGACTCTACAGTTAGAAGGCATCATATTTACTAATTTTCCTGGGTCAAACAAACAAAAAACAGGAGGACCTACCCCCTAGAGTTTGAATTGACTCTGGTTTACCTTTATTCTCTTACATACATTAATGCCATTTTATGTAAAGACTTTTTTTTTCACTTAAGAATTGGAACTGTGACTGCCCTACTTAAAGTCAAGAATGTCTCCAAGCAGCCATCTCTAACTCCCACACATATAGCCAATTAGAGGGTGCACAAAGATTCTGGGCCTCAAAGAATCTTCTTCTGATCTTTACAGTAAAGACTTCTGTGTTCAGAGAGTTCTTGAGTTCTTACCTCTAATTACCTAGTTCAACCAGGACAAAATGTGACACAAGACTTCCTTTTAACCTATCCCCCATCACAAACAATCCCACACACTCCAGACCCTTTGGGTCAAACAACGCAGAACTGCCCCCGCAAAGCCTTTGTGAGTTCCAAGGACATGGTAACAGTGGTAGTGCCAGTTCTGATTGCCCATTTGGATCAGGAGCAAAGAATTTCCAGAATGGTATGAAAGCACTAGAAAATTGAGAACAAATTCTTTGAGCTATTAGGTATCAAGCAAACAATAAGATCAGTCCTCTTCTCTTGCTAGTTATAGGAAAAGAGATACATTTTTCCCTACAAAGAAAGTGAAAGGATGACACCGTGCTCAGTTACCATAGCAACGTAGAGCCACTTCAGGCTCAGTTCATCCTGTCACTGTGGAAGACTCGAGGAAAAAGAACACCACCACTAAGCTTCCGGTTTTTGTCAAATATTTTGAAGTGACATTTCATGGCATGAGCCTGAAACAACTTTTTCTGAGGGGAAAAGAGAGGAGGACGTGAGAGGGAGATAGAGAGCCCAAAGAGCTGGGGACCCTGGGGACATGTTTGAGAGACACTGACAGTGGCTGATGTGGTCAGCACCAATGAAACTAAGAGGGAAGGAAAAGAAATAATGAATATTTATTGAGTGCCCACCACAGACCTGCTGCTGTGCTTAATAATGAACAGTCTGTGGCCTCACAGAGCTCTCTGTCAGGAAGCAAGAGATGAGGAAGCTAGCAGTTCCAATATGGGAGCGCAAGTGCAGACAGCAGGTGGCCAGAGGTGCTGACCTGGGGGCTTGCAGGAAATGGGTGGAAGGGATATTTCCCACAGGAGGTGACTACACTGGGATCTGAGGAATGGGGAGGGAAAACCAGAAGAAAACATTCCGGGACTTCCCTGATTAAAGGTCAAGGTATCCAAAGGTCTTGAGAGAGAAATCAGGGGCTCAGGGGTCTGTAGGAAAGTCATCATGGCTGGCCTGGAGAGTTGAGGAGGAAGAATGGCTTTTGCTAGAGAAACTACCAAGAACTAAATTGTGTTATCTCTTATAACAAGTTATATCAAGAGGTTTGGATTTATCTGGAAGGCAGTGAAGATCCATTAGGGTATTTAAGCAGTTTTTTGAGGAGTGAACGTAATGGCAGACAGAATGAGGGAGACACTGTATAAACTCAAGAGAGTGGGTGATGGACCCCTAGACAGTGAAGAGGCATGGGTAGGGAGTCTAGAAGTTCTATCAGTTAGAGCCATCAGAATTTACTGGGGATGAAAAAAGAAGAAAAATCAAGCCAGGTTACTGGACAGTTGAGTAAGCCGCAGGGTCATGTTTAAATGGGGGTCAGTAATGGAGGAGGGGGTTGGGAGCATTTTGATGGATTGTAATGAACCTCAGCTTATGAAACAGGCCTAGTAGAGCACCATGAGAAGGTGACATATGGAGCTAGGACACAAGAAGAAAGTTTCTATAGTGAAGTCATGTGTAGAAACCACCAGCAGGCACATAAGCACAAACACAGCAAAACCATTCAGAACCTTCTCTTTTCTCCATTTTCAGTGACAGGTTAATTCCTTATGCATCTTTCGTTAGTGCTACCTGCACACAAGAAATCACAGGTTACCCGTAGCGTTGGGGGAAGAAGGAATATGTGTTCTCCTATTGTGATCTGTCCCAATATCCAGGAGCTTAGCTCTTAAGCAGCTCAACGCTCTCAGTCTGGTTTGGATTAATTGATAACAAGATGCCAAAGTGGGACTTGATGCAGTGTAGTGAGGATGCGATGTGGTCTGTATAGTCGTTCCTGGTGAATGTTCCTAGTCAACCAACTAGAAGACAACAGGCTAAGAGATTCCATCTCTGCCCACTTATGTGTCATTTATGCTCTGTCCGCTCTTCCACCAAGTTCGGTGCTGAACTCATCATCGGCTAATAGACCACAGGCCAGCTCCAAAGGCTGGGCTCATCCACACATAGACCACACAAGAGCTTCACTTCTGCTATTTTAACTGCCAGAAATGAGTGTGAAGTCAGAGAGTTTGGATTTGAGACCCAGCACCATGGCTAGCTAATGTGTCTTCATCTTAAACAAGTTTCTTAATTCTCAGAGGGCTTCCTTCTCTGTTGCATGGATGATAATGATGATAGGGAACCCCATCTTCCAATTGATGGTGAGAAGACTTGGGAAAGAGATATGAAAGCTGAACCCACATTGGGACTGACTCTCATAGGACTGCTGGGTTGTAAAAAGAGCAGGCAACCTCTAGCTCCTTCATCATGCTGTCCTGTAGTTCTAGAACCTTCTGGAAGGTATTTCTTGGCGTCAGCTTGAATCTTCTTTCAGGAGAGAACTGAGGTCTGAGAATTTATAATTTTGAGTGTGATGGGAGAAGAGTCTGCCAGGCATTTCTTCTCCCATACAGGTAAGACATGAATAAAGAAAATCTCCTCTGTAACTTCACTATTTGCTGTGACCATCCAAAGTAGCCTGAGCTCAGTTCCTAAACTTACTTACTTAATTTCTACTCCCTCTAGTAAACAGTGAAAGTCCCCTCTGCAGTAGGAGAAGAAATATGGATTTGGATTCAGACAAGCAGTATTCAGTACTGACATTTACTAGGTGTGTGGTGTTAGGTAAGTCACTTAACTTTAGGAGTGGCTATTTCCTCATCTATAAAACAGATAATCCTCCTCAAACATTCTTACAAAAATTAGAGATCAGGCATGAAGTGACCAAGCCCAGAGCAGGCACCTAGTAAGCAAGCACTACATTTTTTTTCCTTTCTAATAACTTACAAAAAATAAAATCAGAGGCTATGGTTTTTAGACCCTTACCACACCCTGTCTCAAGCCTCCTATGAATTTCTGTAGCTGTATTATGATTTCCTTCCATCCTGACAGAAGCATCTGAATTCAGTGGTTATGAAACCAACCGATACCAGAGGACTGGGGAAAATCCTTTCTGAGTTGAGCCCTGCAACTGCTCACAAATCTCAGCCAGCATCACTCCTGCTGGCATCTAGAATTCACCCCTGCACCCCAGAGCACCCCGAAGGAGCAGGTCCCAGGAGAGGGTGCCTCAGCTCTGCAGGCAGAGAAGGTGGGAAGCAGTGAGTAAGAGAGAGTTGTTGGGCTGGACCCATGATCCCCACACTCGTTTGCACCCAGTGGCTGTGTAAAGGGTGAATGAAGGGTATTTGGTTTTAATTGGGAAATGCTATCTATTGTCCTAGGCTCATTTAAAAATCCATTAGTATCAGGAAGTGGACAGATTAAGCAATGAGGAAGGGAAAAGAAAAAAACCGTCAGCTCCCTGTTTTGTAGGGAGCCAGGGGCCTGTCTAAGCTTCACCAGCCAGGGCTGTGCTGAATGCTAAGAAGCTGCTAGCATGGATTTGGAGATGCTGGGGGGCAGGGTGTCTGAGCCAGTTTCACAGATCTGGGCAAGCATGTCATTTGTGCAGCTTCCAGAGGTGGCGCTGCAGAGCTGCCTGCTACACATTCCAGATGTGAGCAGCTGATCCTGGCCGCTTGGCAACTTATGCCACCAGCTGCAAGCCAGCTCTCTCAATCCCTGCACACACCCACTCCTCTTGGCCACTGCTCTTCACACCCACACCCTTCCCTTTTGGCCAAACTTGGAATTAGACCCTTTTCATCCAGGGAGTCTTCAGACAGACAAGTCTGCAGTAGATCAGAGGCATATAGGGGGAAGGTGCTAGAGATGCAGCAGGGAGTGGATGAGAAGAGAGGGGAGGCAGAAAAGAATGAAGAACAAAGATAAAAGCCAGGTCCGAGAACAAGATCTGAAAGGAGTAGGTGGAAGGGGTGTGGTGTGTTCTGTTCCCAGGGCTGCCTGAGCAAAGCACCTCACACCAGTGGCTTAACACAACCAAAATCCATTCACTTAGAGTACCTCAGGCTAGAGGTCTGAATTCAAGGTGAAAGCAGAACCTGCTCCCTCTGGAGCCCCTAAGAAGGCTCCTTCCTGGCCTCTTCCAGCTTCCAGTAGACCCTGGGCTGTAGAGGCTTAGTTCCCATCTCTGCCTCCCACTTCACATGGCAGCTTCCCTCTGGTGTATTTCTAGGTCTTCTAAGGACGCATGAGATGAAAGTAGAATCCATCCTAATTCAGTATGACCTCATCTTAATTTAATGACATCTGCAAAGACCTATTCCCAAATAGTTTACATTCCCACATCCCAGGGGTGAGAAATTCATCATCTCTCTCAGAGGTTCACAGTGTAACCCATTACAGGCTGGTTCATGGAGCCCAGTCCTGTGGGGAAGCACTGGGAGGGCTAGAAAAGGACCCTTCAGGAACTTGGGGTCACAAATGTAGGTGCCTGCCAAGACCAGATATAATAAATAGGATGTGGGTCAAGAACTTGGAGGTCATCCCACCACCGGGTCCCTGGGAAGGCAGTGAACTAGAGCTCTTGGGCCTGACAAGGGTGAAGGCTGCTCAGCTCCAGCCCTTGTTGCCTTGTAGAGCTAATGAGGATTCAAGAAGCCACATTTGTGTGTGAAATCTTACAATTGTTTTTAATACTTTGGCAACTACTATTTTTCTTTTTTTTTAAGAATCTTTTTAAATTAATTAATTTATTTATACAAGCACTGGGTATAGTCAGAAGGGCGAGAGGATGAAAGAATTCACCAGAGCCAGAGCTGGGAGCAGAACAGGCAGACTGGCAAAGTACACTGCTGAGGGGAGCAGCGGGCGTGGCAGGAGAGGTCTGCGCACCATGCGGGACCCTCGCCGGCAGCCGGGGATCGAACCAGCACTGCAGAGGCTGCAGGCAGCTTCACAGCCCAGCACTCAACCGCTGCACCACCGGGGAGGCCCAACTACTATTTTTCTTTCCCCAAGACAGGATGCAGTCCAGACTAAGTCCATCTGCAAACTAAGAAGAGCCCTGAGCAGTCAGTTTGTCACCCAGTGATGAATCTTGAGTTCAAGTCCCAAACTTGCCACTGTAGGTATGACCTTGGACAAGTTACCTCCCATCTCTGGACAGGGAAAGAGACATTAGTGATTACCCCACAGAGTACACTGGTAAATGGTGGTGACATTCAGAGGCATGGCGCGCCAGGCCCACAATGGAGGTATTTGCAGAATAGTTTGTGAAATAAGATGTTCACATTGGAAAGTGTGAGTGACCTCAGCCAGTTGCTCTAAGCATTATAACCTAAGTGGCTCTTACTTGGCCTAATGCTGGATAACTCCTTGTGCTGAACTATTTCCAGGGCTCCTCTCTGAGCAGGACTTATTTTAGCAAGTGGCCTGGATTCTAAATGCAGAGATATAACAGGGATATGACCCAGTGAGTAGGAAAGACAGCCATAGTGCAGAGAACACAGAAAGGTCTAAATTGTGGCTTTCCCATGGTGACAACTCCAGCTCATTGTGAGGGTCTCCAGTACACTCCATAGCCTAGCAGCACACAGTCTGCTGTGCCCTGCACCCCCCCACGGCAGCCATTTTGCAATCTGTCATCAGAACTCCAAGGTTCCAGTCCTAGCTTTGCCCCCTTTGCTGTGTGGCCTTGGTTGGGTGACACACCCTCTCTGGGCCGTGGTAGAAATGTTCGATAACTTATCAAGGTCACAGAGCTGTCCATGGCACAGCCCAGAATTTGAACCCAAAGTTACTAAGGACAAGCACTGCACTGTAGTCTTCAATATGTATTTCTCATTGTCATCTAAGGCCCTCACCTACTCTGCTACGTAGATGTGGGTGGGACATAGGGTGCCCATACTGGCTGTTAACTTGAACACACTGCAAGGGGAACAGTAAGAATGAAACTAGATTGACGTGGAACTGCATGGAGTTCTTTAAATGTGAAGGGCAAAGAAGAGACTAGAAGCCGCCTCTCTTGGCCTAAGATCACGTCATGAAGCTTTCCCTTCCGTCATACGACAGTTTTGATTTATCCTACAAAATAAGAGGGATCCAGCCTTCTACTGGGTGTCATTTAGTCTTAAAAGCTCTTGATGGGAAAATGAACCTGCCCAGTGGTTCCTCATATTTATTTTTAGCAGAAAACCATTAAAATAAAAAATAAAAAACCTGACATAGAAAGCCAGCATAGAAAGAATCAGCTGGTGTCCGTTATGCATTCAGAGGCATAATAATAATAAAGATGATGGTAATGATAGCAGAGGCTGTGCCCTGCTGAGAACGAGCCAGCACTGTTTCCTCTAAGCCCTGACCCCTGGTAATGCATCTAAGCCTCACAACACTTGGAGGAAAGTGAGGCAAGAGATATTAAGTGTTTTTGCTCAAGGTCATAGACTTGATTGCAGGAGTCAGACAGGTTGCCTTGAGTTTCTCCTCCTATCTTGTCCTCCTCCTCCTGCTCCTATCCTGTATCCCTGCTGTCACCCAGGCTCAGAACAGAGGGCCCACCTGAGCCAGGCCACAGGGCACTGTGCCTATGCAGCTGGTGACAGGGGTCATGTTGAAACTGCTGTTTGTATGATCCACAGGGACTTGTTACGTGGGAAATGTGTCTCCCAACTGACAGTAGCCCAGGCCTGTCATTGTGACGCAACCTGAGCTCACCTGTGCCTGAAGTGCTCCTAGGGACTCATGTCTGCCTAGAGCATAAACTCTGAATCAAACTTTGGTGAAAATTATCCAGAGTGGTTAGGACCCAGCAAGCCCCAAAGCCACTGTGTCTGCACTCATCACAGGGGCGGGGCCTGGCAGCATCTTCAGGGAGCCATGAGCTCTGGAACCTAAGGTTCCAGCCAAGGGAGGGTAGTGTCCAGGGGCTCAGGAGAAACAGTGGGCTTCAGAACTAGAGTCAGCTTAGGGGAGTCCAGAGAGGGGTGACACAGTGTTGTGGGCTCTCACCCACAGGTCGATGAGTTTTGCAGCATCTCTTGGCTGTGCCCTGGCACTGCTGACACCTGGCTGCTCTGCAAACAAGCATCAGGTAGCAAATTTGCATGATTAGGCTGGGGCTGACAATGCAAAAATCAGTAAGTTAAACCTCCCTTGAGCTCTTTTTCTTGTTTCACTCTAGTGACAAAATAGAACTTTTAAATACAATGTGGAACTTAAATATTTAGCTTCTAGAAAGTTAAACTAGAAAAGAATTCTCAGCCATGGGATTGGAGGAGTCTTTCAGGGTGGAGGCGGGGCTGTTCGATGTCCTCTGGGCTATGTCCACCCCACACCACCGATTTAGGACCATCAGAAATATCTTTGGACAGTGTCTGTCTTCTGAGGGCAAGATAAGTCCTAGTAAAATCCCAAGGTACTATTAAGCTAGAGTTTTCTGATGCTTTAGAAAAGTTTTAAATAAAAAGCTTAACTCAAGTCCATTTTTCCTGCTGTAGATTTGTGCCTTGTCTGGATGCCCTGGTTCATAGGCCAAACCAAGATCACTGCAGTTTGCCATCACTCCTGGCTACTTGACCGCATCAATTACTAAAAAAAAAAAAAAAAAAAAAATGATTTTAATGAAAAAATTAAAATTACAAAAATGTAGTTTTATGATCCTTCACAGATCTTCTTTCACTGCCTCCTTTTGTTTCCAAACCCCTTTTCTTATCATTCCTCTTCTTCCCACAAATCTGAAGCTGAAAGAAAAATGGAAATAAAGGTTAAGTGTCTGGGCCAGGGTGGTGTGACTCACTCAGACAAGGTCTCTCTTATCAAGGCGATCGATTCTTTCCTACAGTATATTTTTAAGATATCTCTTCTCTTACCGGCTTTCTCTGGAAATGGCTGTGTGATGTCCGAAAGGCTTACATGAAACACCACACTGTACACAAACTGGGGTGAATGTTTGAACTCTGCAATCAGACCACAGTCTAGGTTTGCACCCCAGCTTATCTGGCCATCCACTACTTTCAGGATTGTGGTGACTTCCTAAGACGCTGAGCTCCAGTTTCATTATCAACTAAATAGGGACAGTAATAACGCCAACCCCGCAGGGCTGTCATGAGGATTTAATAAAATACCGGGTGTAAAGTGTTTAGCAAAGTGCTATGCATATAGTAAGCGATCAGCACACGCTATTACCACGATCATCATCACCATTAGAATCATTTTTAATTATCACTTTGTTCCCTTTCCTCC